GGGTGCCATGGCTTCCGTTTGCAGCAGACAGGTCACGGGGGAAAGATGGAGCTGTGACCTCGGCATCCTTCCCTGCGACAGTCCCGAGTGGCTCCGCTTAGATCCGGGGCAGCAGCTTCTCGATGAACTCCTTCACTGCCATCATCTCCTATAGGGAGCACAGAGCCTGTCAGTCTGGGGCTCAGGAAAGGCTGGACATGCCCCAGGCATGGGCACACGAGGGCTGTTTAGTCCCTCCAAAGTTGGGATGTTCCCTAGGCATGGGCACACAAGGGCTGTGCAGCTCCCCAAAGACCATCCCTGGGCACAAGGGCTGTGTATCCTCCCTGAAATGAGTCAGGAACAACCAGATCCCACGTGTTCCCTGCCCTGCCTGACCCTCCGTGCTAGGGTCACTCCCAAAGATCCCAAAGGTGATTGCAGTCCACCCCACAGCACTGACCTGAGGACAGGAACTGTGCATCACTCCAGGGTAGGTTTTGAACTGGACCTTGGTGGGGGTGACGACAGATTTCAGCTTCTCAGCAGTGAGTGCCCCGAAGCGCACAGGGATCATGGGATCCATCTCCCCGTGGCACTGCAGGATGGCAATGTCCTTGTTCACGCCGTTGTTCGCTGCCTGCAGCAAGAAGGAAACACTCAGGTGTGCCCAGGTGAGGAGATGCCAGCAGGGAGCACAGTAGGTACTTCATCTGTGTCCCCAACACATCACCTGGCAGCTCCTCTCCTCAAGAGAGCTGCTGGGACACTCCCTGGAGAAATCCAGAAGGGAAAGTCCCCCCACCCTGACCCTGTGGACACACACCTGTGGGAAGGCCTTGTGCAGAGGGAGCCAGCAGCTGAGTGCCACGATGCCAGCCAGCTGGTGCTGGCAGGTGAGAGCCGTGTACAGCGACAAGGCACCGCCCTGCAGCAGGGGAGGAAGGTCTGTCTGTCAGTGCCACAGTGGGATCTGAGGGGCACACACCAGCCCACCCACCCCTCACCGTGGGTGCTCCCCTCGAGGGGTGTCTCAACCCTCAGTCTGCCCCAGCCCAGCTCACCTGTGAGAAGCCTCCCAGGATGATGCGGTTGGGAGGGATCCCATTCTTCATCTCGTGCTCAATAATTGCTTTAACTGGAAGGAGGTGGAGAAATGGGTCAGTGGAAGGTTTGGAGAAATGGGGCAGTGGAAGGTGAGGGGGGGTGAAAAGCATCTGAGGGTGCACACAAGGACATTTGGCACCATCAGGGAGAGGCAGGTCAGAGGTCCCAGGGAAAAGGTGGGCTGGGATCACAGGAAAAAGAGGTGTAAGGAAAACACCTGCTTCTGTCCCAGTGAGGGATAGGCACCCAAGAGCTCAACATTTCCCCCTCCCCAAAGCTTCTTACTGTTTTCTGCAGCTTTCTTGATCCCAGCTTCATCCTCAGGTGCATCAGGAGTCAATCCCATCAGGTCAAACCTGAGAGAAGCAGCAGGGTCAGCCCAGACCTATCCCAGGCTCAGGGCATGGGGAAGCAGGAGCTGGGTGTGCTCTGCCCTTCCTGATTCCCACAGGGCAGTGGATTTTGGCTCTTCAGCCCCACCATCCCTCTCACTCCCCAAAACATCTCCCCCAAAAAGGTCCCACCCACAGCACTGACCAGGAGGGCATCACCATCTTCATGTTGAGGGTCACTGGGATCCGGGGCCTGTGGAGAAAACAGTTTGGGTGATTTAGCTCAAGTCCAAGCCAAGGGTCTCAAAGTGACCATCCCTCCTGCCCACAGCTGCAGGACACCTCTCCCAAGGGACAGTGGCAGATCAGTGCCACCAGACCTGGTCTAGGGGCTGCATGGATCCCATGGATTACCTACAATCCCTGAGCAGCTCCTGGTTGAGCTGGTGGCTCCAGGGCATTACAGCTTTCCTGGGGAGCAGAGCACCTGCCTCCCTCTCCCAAACCAGGAGATGCTGATAGAGCAGCTGTTGTGGGACACCAGGAATCTGAGGCCAAGATGGGACACTGGGAAACTGAGGCTCTGCTGCAAGAGCTCCCCCAGCCTGCTGAGTGACCCCTATTGGCACTGGGAACACATCAGGAGTGTCTCCTTCCCTTTCTGCTGAGCTCCCTCCTGCCTGACCAAGGGGATGAGGAAGGAGACTCAATGCCTTTGGCTTTCACTGCAGCCATCAGGATAAGCAGAGGACAGGATAAGGGGCAGAAAACAGAGCAGCAGCTCCTGTGCTGGTCAGCTCTGTGGGGAGCAGCTCTGCCTGCAGCAGAAGCATCAGTGCTGAGGCCCTGCATGAACTGACCACAGCAGCAGAGCTGTGGCTGCACAGCCCTGCAGGCAGGTCAGGGCTCAGACCATCATGTGTCTCCCTGAACAGCCCTGACAGCCTCACAGTGCCCACACATCCCCCCCAGACTCCCCCGGGCAAGGACAGCACTTACGCGTGAGGGCAGATGTATTTCACGTAGGGGAGGCGGATGGAGGAGAGAGCATCAGCCCAGCTGTGCCTGGGGACAGAGGGGAGCAGAGAGGGAATTCAAGGCCTGCCTGGAGGATGCTGAGGATGGGGAGGGATTTCCCTGAGGCTGCTGCTGCCCCCCACCCTCCCCTGATGTTATTTTACCACCTCAGCAGCCTGAATCCCCCGTGAAGCACACAAAGCCCCACGGCTGGAGGCAGGGAGGAGGAGGGAATGTCCTGTGCAGGGAGCAGCCCTTTATCACCCCCCACACTGTCCTCTGAGGTGGCCTTTTACATTAGAGATGCACTTTCCTAGACACAGCCCAGCTCCCAGCCCTCCCAGGGACTGGAAAAGCTGCAGTGCTTATCAGCAATCCTTACAGACAAGCAGAAAATCCACCCGCGGGGGGTGGGGGGGCTGCCAGGCTGCTGGGATCATAAATATTCAAGTGCAGACAGCTGCTGGCCGAGATTCCCTGCTATTCCCAGCGAGGGTGGTGCAGGAATAGCTCCCAGCCCCAGCTCAAAGCCCCACACAGAGAGAGAGCAGCAGCAAAGGGCTGGGAGGTGTGTTCAGCAAACCACACAACCCAGTCAGAGCCACTCCAGGGATACTCACCCTGTGTCTCCAAGGCCATGTAGGAAAATGACCTGTTAAAGAGAGAAAGGAGAGGATTAGGTAGTGTGAGAGTCAGTGCCCAGGGAGAGGGGCAGGGCTGGGCTGGGCTGGGAGTGAAGTGGTGAGTGGACACTTAGTCACTAGCTAGAGACTCTGTTGGGCACGTCCGTGCTGCTCTGAGTGTGAGGGTTGGGTGGATCAGGGATGTCATGCCACAGAGCCTGCTGCCACAGCCAGGTCTGTGGGTGGGGGCAGCCCCTTGGCTGCCCAGCAGAGCTCAGGGCCAAGGAGAGACAGACTGTCCTGCCAGGAATGGCACCACGTGGGGCAGGGGCACAGCGTGAACCACGGAATGGTTTGGGTTGGAAAGAGCTTAAAGCTCATCTCATCCCACTCCCTGCCATGGGCAAGGACACCTCCCACCAGCCCAGATTGCTCCAAGCCCCATCCAACCTGGCCTGGAACACTCCCAGGGATGGAGCAGCCACAGCTACTCTGGGCAACCTGTTCCAGAGCCTCAGCACCTCCCAGGGAAGGATTTCTTCCACATATCAGCAAGAACTCACAAACACCTCCCCACAGACATCTAAGGTACAACAACCCCCAAGCCATGGGGAGCAGAGGGAAGGCATCCTGCAGGCCCCAGGGAAGGACTGAGGGGGTTTCTTTGGGGGATTTACTTTTAAAAGCTTAAATATCCCAATCATTGCAACTCCCACTAGCTTCCCTGCAGGTCAATCCAAGCTGTGAGGCAGTGCTTCCACATGGGAACAGGACAGTCAGTTTTCCCCTCACTGGTCCAACACGTGAAGATCTGAGGGCCCAGAGGCTCAGCTCAGGGCCACTCTGAACTCCCTGGAAGCAGCTCCTAATGCTCCATGCTGCCAGCAGGGAAGCAGCAGGAGAGGGGAGAGCCCTTACCGCTGCAGTCTCCCGCTCTGCCCCTGAGACAGTCACGGCGTCAGCGAGGAGAGGGACAGACATGTTGTTACCACACATACACCGAGAGGGACTCAGACACTGGCACCTGTGGGACAGAGGCACAAAGGTGAGGCAGCAACACAAATCCCTCACCTCCCCCCCCCATGGGATCTATTTGAGGAGAAAATTAAAGACTACATGGAGGCTTTGATGTTTAAGCCCTTGGGACATTCCTCTCCATCCCTGGCCTGGCAGTGCTGGAGAGTCAGGAAGCAGCAAACACTTCCCTTGTCACAGCACTGTGGGGTGTTGGAGGTGTTAAAATTAGCTCCAAAATGACACCTCAAAGCCAAAGTTATTCCTGTGACTGCACAGACGTGGGCAGAGGGTGGCACAGCCTCAGCATCCATTCATCCCATCATCCCTTCATCCCAGCCACGGAGCAGCCTGACCCACATCTGCTCCGAGGGGAAGCAGGAAACACTGGCCATTGGCATGCAGCACCACAGGCTTTGCAGCACTAGTAAAGGTCCAGCCCTGATTTATGGAGCTGTTTAGGGATAAATTGGAGCACTGGGAGCTTGCCAGAGCCCCCCTCCAGTGATGGGTGACATCCTTCTCCCACCACTGCTGTCCCCACTGCCACAGGCTGCTGCCAGCTCCAAGTGCTGACTGTCTCCTCCTGGATCCTGGACCCAGCAGAGCTGACAGCCCCCAAGACAACACCTTCACCCATGGCAGTCCACGGTGTTTGTTCCCACTCTGACACAAATCAGTACATCTCCAGCTTCTCACGTGACCTCCTTGGCCCTGCTGACCCACCAGGACTAATTAGATCAGAGCTCGTTTACAGCACTGCCATCATCCCCCAGGAGCAGGATCAGCCTCCTGGATCCTGCCCAGAGCACAGGATCACAGATATCCTGAGCTGGAAGGGACCACAAGGATCATCAGTCAACTCCAGCCCTGCCCAGGACACCCCAACAATGCACCCTGTGCCTGAGAGCACAGTCCAAACACTCCTTGAGCTCTGTCAGGTCTGGGGCTGTGCCCACTGCCCTGGGGAGCTGTTCAGTGCCCAAACACCTCTGGAGATAGAACCTTGTCCTGATATCCAACCTGAACCTGTTCCAGTGCCCAAACACCCTCTGGGGAGAGAACCTTGTCCTGATATCCAATCTAAAGCTGTTCCAGTGCCCAAACACCCTCTGGGGAGAGAACCTCTGCCTCACGTCCAACCTAACCCTCCCCTGACACAGCTCCAGCTGTTCCCTCAGGTCCTGTCACTGCTCCCATAGAGCAGAGATGGTGCTGCCCCTCATGAAGAAGCTGTAGACAGCTCTGAGGTCTCCCCTCAGCTCCCAAAATCTGCTCCAGCTTCACACTCCACCATCCCCAGGGGGGCTGGATGTCACAGGACCACCCAAACCTTCCCAAAATCCCAGCAGACCTTACCCAAGAGAAACAGCTTCCTTCTGTGCCAGCCTGGGCTCTGACCTGCCTGACTCGTTTCACTGACTGTTTGTCAGCTGCTCACACATAAACCCCAGGCACAACAAGCTCCCCAGGTCTGACACACACACACACACACACAGCCCACGTGTTCCTGTGTACTCCAGGGGCCAAGCAACCAACCAGGAGCAACAGCACCTGCCAAAAATCCTGGCAGGGACAGGAATCTTCTGTGGCAGATGGAGAGCTGGGATGCACTCCCAGTGATCTGTGGCTCTACCTCGTTCAGAGACTCCAGGGAAAGGAGAAGCTGGGAGAGCCAAACCTGCCCAAAACACCCCGGGGTGTTCCTGTCCCACTCATGGGGAATCCATAGGAAATCCACACAACCCCTGGAGTAGAGGAAATGTATAACATAGGAAGGACAAAGCCCCCAGATGTGTCTGTGTGGGTATAAAAGCAGGAGGTGGATCTGGCTCTGATTTGGGCTGTTTCAGCAGCAGCCACAGACCTGTCCCACCCTGAGCCCTCGTGGTGACACCACTGGGGATGATGTTCATTAGCAGGAGAGTCGTTAATTATCACCTCTCCCAGGCCCTGAACCCCTGTGGGAAGGGAAAGCAGTGAAAGGATGGAGAAATCCTGCCTGGACACAGATGGATGGGAAGGACTGGGGGGTGGGGGTGAGGAATTCCCAGCTAGCATAGGAACATCGATTTTCCCTGGAAACCAGGGCTTGGGAGGGTTTTCCCATGGAACTCGGGGTTTGGGAAGGATGGGAACCAAGGTTTGGGAAGGTTTTTCTCTGGAACTCAGGGTTTGGAGAAGGTTTTCTCATGGAAACCATAATTTGGGAAGGTTTTTCTCTAGAACTCAAGGTTCAGTGAGGAATTCCCAGCTAGCATAGGAACATCGATTTTCCCTGGAAACCAGGGCTTGGGAGGGTTTTCCCATGGAACTCGGGGTTTGGGAAGGATGGGAACCAAGGTTTGGGAAGGTTTTTCTCTGGAACTCAGGGTTTGGAGAAGGTTTTCTCATGGAAACCATAATTTGGGAAGGTTTTTCTCTAGAACTCAAGGTTCAGTTTTTCCCTTCTCTAGAACTCAAGGTTCAGGAAGGTTTTTCCCTGGAACTCAAGGTTCAGGAAGGTTTTCCCCTGGAAACTATAAATTGGGAAGGTTTTTCCCTGGAACTCAAGGTTCAGGAAGGTTTTCCCCTGGAAACTATAAATTGGGAAGGTTTTTCCCTGGAACTCAAGGTTCAGGAAGGTTTTCCCGTGGAAACTATAATTTGGGAAGGTTTTTCTCTAGGACTCAGGATTCGGGAAGGTTTTTCTGTGGAAACCACAGTTTGGGAAGGTTTTTCTCTGCATCTCAGGGATCGAGAAGGTTTTCCGTGGAACTCAGGGTTCGGGATGATTTTTCCCGTGGAAACCACAGTTTGGGAAGGTTTCCGCATGCGAATCAAAGTTTGGGAAGGTTTTCCTTTGGAACTCATGCTTCGGGAAGGTCTCCCCATAGAACCAAGGTTCAGTAAGGAACCAAACTTCGGAAAGGTTTTTCCCTAGATCCCAACCTTTAGGAAGGCTTTCCCATAAAACCAGGGTGGGGGAGTGTTTTCCCTCACGCGGCTCCGTTCCGGACAGCGCTCCGGGCCCGCGGCCGCTCCCCGTGCCCCGTTAGCCCCCGCGGCGCAGTGACCCCTCGG